TGCCCCATCCCATCTTGTATTAAAGGATGCCCTAACCATATGTGGCTTGGGATAATTCAGAGAGGCTAAAAAAAAAGAGTGTGAGAACATTTTAACATTCAGGTTGTTATGAACAAGAGCAGACATGAAACCGGAACAAAGTTAAAAACTTACTCTTTTCACAGATGACCATTAATTAAAATCACTGAACTAACTCTTCTCTGATCCATGCACATTTTGAAAGAAAACTTGAACGTCATCCTTTATTGGGTTATTTCTTTACCTTGTCATCTATATGAGGTTGTTTGTTCATCAATTAAATGTTAATTAAGGAAGCCTGGTAATCTGATGGCCAAGGATTGCATTCCATTTTATAGACCTCCTCAAAATGGAATGCAAAGAACCATTTCATGGCACTGTCTTAGCTAAACAGATAGTCCTACCCACTTAGAGAGTTCTGTTGGTCTATTGAGTGGCATATAAATTTGAAAATAAAATAAACTTGTGGAAAGCATTACTAAAGCTAGAAGAAAAACTTTTTCTGAACAACAATCAGAATGGATTCTTCAAAGAAAAGTCTTGTTCCATCAACCTTGCAGAATTCTTTGAAAGTAATCAAACATGAAGGTAAAGACAAATCTTTAGGCATTATATAGCCGGACTTCCTGAAAGCTTTGGATGAAGACACTCACCAAATGCTTTTGCAGTTGCACTGTCATGAGACTGGATACACCCACAAAAACATTCACAAACCTGACACATAACCTTACCTACTGCTTTATAAGCCTGGAGGAATGTTGTCCATGGAGTTCTGATGGGTCGGGGACGACTTTACAACTATCAACAACTGCTTTATAAATGCAACTGAACTTTCTGATAAACAAAATTAAGCCTTGGAGAATATAATCCACAGTATAGGTAGATATTCACATGTAGTCACTGGTTCACATGTAGCCACTTAAAAAAAAAAAAAAAAGGCTTCCCATGAGTGCACATGGCTTGATCACTCCCACTGACTTCTCCTGACAGCAGGGACAGTTCGTTTCTGGCTTGTTGAGCTTTTCACACTGACAATAAGAGCCAAGCAGGAGTGATCAAGCCAACTGCACTAGCTCACTGGCTTGCTCAATAACAAGGATTCTTTAAAAAATCTACCTTTCCATCATGCCTGAATACAGCCATGATTTCGCAGGTTTCAATACAGAGCATCCCAAGCATGATCACTAATCTAGCAAATCACTATCATCTCAGGGAGAAATGGAAATTAGTGAAATAATGGGAGATTATACCAGAGAGCCCAAAAAAATGGAAGATTTAAGAATCTTTCAAGTGAGTGAGTATTTCTTATAATGCAACCCTATGGCTAGCAAAACACTTTTAACATACCCTGGTGCATCAACATTACATAGTAACCACAGCAATTTGGACATACTGCACCATAATAAAGAACTGTTCGAAGTTATCTTTCAGCATACCTTTTAATATACCCATACATTTCAATACATATATTTCTCATTCTACTCAGTTGATTATATGTATCCCTCAAGTCCATTAAGTTCTAAGGCAATTTTATCCTGTGAAAATTGGTTTTCCTTATGACATGATGATAGTGTAACAGCTATGTTTTGGTATTGCCTGACGCTTTATGACATGTTTTCATAGTCTCCTCTTAGCTATCACTTTATTTTTGGCTTTATTCTCCCCACCCTCACTTAAATACTGATGCTGCTCTATCAGTTTCACAGGCTTATGAATGTTATACATCAAAAAATTAGTTTCACTTATTAAGGGAGGAAACAGCTATAAAACTCTGGGATCTGTGCCTCAAAGCAAAGGCTTTATCAGCAGGTTCCAGTTATGGCTTCTTGAAAAAGAAATTACCACTGATCAAAAACCTATACACCTGATTTCCAAAGAACACCCATCCATTGAACACTTATTTTATCAGACTCTGAAAGCACTACACCCTCAAATACAGCTAAGTTCACCTTTTTTATTTAATACAGAAATACGAATGGGTGGTATCTTATATCCGTAAGTTAATCTTTTCTATGTTTTCTAAGTTGTCATTTGGTCAGTATTCACTTCTATACCTAAAAATGAGAAATAAAAATAAAACAGTCTCATCTAGCATTAAGGGCAGTTAACTATATCCTTAAAGATTGGGGGTTTCAGGTCTTGTTCCCAAACCCACACATCAAGGAAGGAACTTGGGAAGTTCCCCAAAGGTTTCATCTCAGTTCCTTTACTGTCCATTCATACATTTCATATTTAAGTTGTCAGTTTTGACTTGTACAGCCTTACCTAGCTTGGGGCAGCAATGTCTGATATGAACCTACCTGGAGCTTACAGAATCTCCTTCTGAGTGTCCTATCCAAGACCATATCTTTGGTCTTTCTTAGACCTCACAACTCAGCCTGCCTTTCCTCCAAGCAACCAGCCTACAGATTCAGTCACAGGCTGCTTCCTAAAGAGAAGTGGCTGTTTCCTGTAACTTGCATCATATTAGTGCTCAAGGGTGCTTCACCCAACCTTGCAGTTCAGACCTAATCCTAAACCATAGTTCAACATTTTTGTTACAATTTTTTTTCAAACTTTTGGTGTGAGTGCTTCTTTTCTCCTTCTTGTACTAATAGAAAAATTGAGGCATCCACTTCCTGGTTTAAACTAACCAATCATTGTTATGCCTGAATCAAGAACTGGGGTTAGTTTAAACTATGGCTTATTGGGACAAGCCATGGCCAACAAATTATAACTTAACTACAGCTTGGCCTAGTCTGGATATAAATATAAACTCTGCTTAGTTGAAACCAGGACATTAAAGTTTCCAATGTTCTCCTTGTGGCCATGCCAAGGGAGGGGATGTTCATGCCTGAGGATTAATCAGGTTCATTTCCATAACAATTTTTACATACAAGGTCAAACAAAGTCATGTAAAAGTATGGTGGGAAAAATGTACTTCTGTACATCTTAGCAAGATATTGGTCTTGTACTCAGCACAAATTGGGCTTAAGTTTAGGAATAATACTCAGGAGCTGAGACGTTAATGGTGTTGGTTTTATTTAACTGATCACAAAGTGGTAAGGAAGACATAGTTTATAAGTTAAGGAATGATGGCAATAGTGAGAACTAAGATATTGGGAACCTGGAAAGAACAGGAGAAGGAAATATTAGTAGTTCAATTGTGGTAGTGGGGGGGGGGGTTAACAGCTGTACGTTTTCAAGGACATGGTGATAACAAAAACTGACTAAAATATATTTAAGTCACGAATTCCCAATATTTTGGATCTGTGAGCATATTTTGGAATTTGTCAAACTGCTCAATTATGTAAACCACCCCCTCCCAGCATGGGTGTAGCTGTTTACATACTGCCTATTATGGGGCCTGGCTAGGTCAAAAGAGGGGAGGGGAGAAAAACAGCAAGGCAGTAAAGAGGGAACAGAAGAAAGCAAACTAAGACACTAGCAGCAAAAAAGAACATGCAAAAAAAGTGGGAGAGAGAAGATGAGCTAGAGGCTGGAAGCAGGGGGAAACTATAAGATAAAGGATGAGTTGGGGAGAAAGAGCAAAGACTAGGAAGGGAGGGAAAGGGAAAGGATAATGGGTGTGAACAGAGAGAAAGAAAGGAAGAAAAAGGAATAAGATCTGTGTAAGAAGAAAATTAGATGGGGCCAGGAAGTAACTCTTTCCTTCTCGTTCTGCCCAATGAACAGCAGATCAGCAGCAAGTTCAGGAACATGATAGAGAACATGGCACCCTAACATTCTGCAAGTTTATTATTTAAAATATTTTTAAAGAAAATATTTTTAAAAATGTACATATACATTTAAAGTATATGTAAATCGCCACTTAGTTTGTGAAGAGAATTACAGTTGTGCATGGTTTGTGTATACCTGTATACAGTACTGAGTTCAGGCATCAGTAAACAACACAATTACTTAAAAGGTCAAAACTGAGAGAACTAGTAAGGAACTTTCCCTTTCTTAAGGTGTGTTCGCTCTCTCACACACACATGCACACGCACGCAGAACACAAACAGTTTACAAACTTATGCTTACCAATACTTTTAATGAAAAGCACCAAAATTTGTGTTTTACACTAAATACACTAAATTACACTAAATATTACACTAAATATTTCTTCTTCATAAAGGATTCAAACTGAGAAACTGTTCAGGTTTTCTGATTTTAACAGAATTGAGTGTAAACTTCTGCGGGCTGAGGACATAATCTTCAAATATACTATTCTGGAATGATGTAAAATTTAAAAAATAAGTAGAAAGAAAGAGCAAAGGTTTCTCTGGAAATACCACTTCCAGTTACAGATTTAGGATTGAATGTTTAAATGGTCTCACATAAGAAAATGCTCCCTGCATACATAAAAGTAGCAAGTCAAGGTGAAGTCTAAACCAGTCTCTTTAGCAAGTGACACCTAAGGAAGAACATTTTACCCTATATGAGGGATTGCTTATCAAACCACCCCATACCACCTTCACCTTGAACTGATACAATCCCAACCACAGCCCACCGAGAGCACTGCAGTAGATTCCAACAAATATACAAGTTGTTCCTTTCTGATGGTGCTGATTTTTTCTCCTTTCTTAAATAGCAAGTTCCATAACACAGTACTTACAGCAAGTTATTTAGAGTATTTAAGAATGTACCAAGTTTAAGAATTTTAGATCCAGAATGAGGAACGGAGATTGATCCTCAATCAACCATCAAGTTCACTAGGTCCAACTGCTCATGCAGAGTTTGTCTCCCTAGATTCTGTCCACTTTCCTGCATTTGTTTTCATCATTCTCCGTCCCCCACCCACCCATGACTTCATGATGAGGTCTGTCCAACAGTAGGATATATCTGTAACATTTCTCCAATACCACCCCTCCTCTGAGCACCCCACAAATACTATGCTGGGGTGAGGAGTGTTGCCTAAAAGGATTAAAGGATTAGGAAACAAAAAACACTGTGTAAACTTACATGTTAGCCATATAATAAACCATACAAAAAGCTCAACTTACTTCTCGAGTAGCTAATCTATCACTTAGTTTCTCAGCTTGTGCAATATCTCCTTCTGCCAATGATCTGTCTATGCTGATTTCAAGGCCAGACTAGAAGAGATATCAAATGAAAAATAGAAGTTTTCATTTTAATACCAACTGAACATTTTAAACATGCGCTCAAGGTAAAGTGTCATTTGCAATGCAATATTCACTCACACAGCTTTAATTTCCATGTATAACAAATCAAACACAGAAATGTATTTGAAATGACAGTATCATTAAATACTCAGAGAATGGCTGCCTCACAACAAATTGTTGTATTAGTTCCACCTTATATGTTTGTTAAATAGTGCACTTTAAAAAAATTACATGGACTAGTTTACGCCTGTCACAATAAAATTTTATCTCACTATCTGATTTATCTATTTCATCCCTGGAGCTTCCTTCAATAAAATATGATGTGTATGTGTCAAAGTATATGAAGAATGACAATTACCACTGTGTCTTTGCAATCCTTAGATCTTATCTTTATCCAAAAATTGAATTCTGGCATGCTGCCACCCCACTATTTCACTATATTACTGAATCCAAGCCTGCAAACTGTCAAGTGTAAGAGAAGAAAGGGCTACATTTTTAATCTCTAAAAACAAGCAATAAGAAAGACCCTTAATAGTACAGGCAAATCCTAACTTGTCTTGAGTTAACATTTACAAATGAAGGACCACTAATGAATGCAATAATAATATTGTAATAGATTTCTGCCCTGAAACTCTCGGTTCATCTTTATTGAACCCTCTAGTTGTAATATATATGAATAATAGAAAAAAGGAAATAGAATGCTGATTACAAGTTGATATTGTGTCAAGACTTCACTAGAAAAATGTCATCTTCTAATTAAAAAGAGTTGTTCACCAGGTAAGATTTACTTTTGGTATATTCATAGTTATATATCTTTGAACATCATCTCATCTTATTATCTTGGCCAAAGAAAATATATATTGTTATTGGCTATTAAGCAATATTTATTACAAGCAAACATTTTAGGACTTGTTTTTGACAATAACATTTTTTTTTTCTTTTGCCTTTCTTCATGGTCTTTGTATTGTATTTTAATGTATTTTAATGCTATTTTAATTAATTTTTAAAAATGTTTTAATGTTATGTTATGTATTGTATTTTATTGTTTTTATATCCTCTTTTATATCCCAGAGAGCTTCAGCTACAGACAGTATAGAAATAAAAGAATGCAATGCACAGCATCAAAGGAAGCCTTAATTAGTAACCTGCAAGGATGATTCAAATTCTTACACTCCTATCCTAAACACCTAATAGAAGGCAATTCTGCTCCAATTAATGGGATGAATCCAGACGAAGTTGGTAAATGGAGTTAAGTTCATCATGATAAATCTAGCTCTTATTCATTTGACTATGACTGGATAATGACAAATATTGTTCTGGTCCCAGCCCAATGGATCTTTCTTTAAAATAATGCTCTTAGAGCTGAGAAGTATAGACATGATAGCAAAGGACAATTATGGGTGTGACCCTATTGGGCTGCTGCCCATTAGAAGGAAACCTACAGTCTCAGAGGCTTCTGAGTAGGCAATGTCCTACCAGGCTACTGCCCACAGTTAAGGAAGAGCAATGTACATGATTTCCATCTCCCCAGCCCTCTTTTGTTTCACTCCTCTAGACAGGCACCTGAGTCCATACAGAAGAGGCACACTGCTTAGAGCTGGGCTGTGGAAGCTAAAGGATTTTTCACACCCTGGTCTGTCCAGTCCCTTCCCATTAAATGCCCCCTTTTTGACCTCTACATTGTCCAAGGCTTCTTTTGCAATTGCAGAAGGTGGAGACTACAGTTCTTTTTGCAGCAACTGACACATGGAGGGGATCAGATCTTTGAGTCCCTGAAGATGAAACTTAAATACTTTGGCCACCTAATGAGAAGGAAGGACTTGGAGAAGTCCCCAATTGTGGGAACAATCGATGACAAAAGGAGAAGGGAACAGCAGAGGATGAGGTTGCTAGATGGAGTCACTGGGATAGTGGGTGTGAGCTTGGGTGGACTCCAAGGGATGGTGGAGGACAGGAGAGCCTGGAGGAATGTTGTCTATGGAGTCATGATGGGTCGGGCGCGACTATGTGACTATCAACAGCCCAGCATTGTAGAAATATCTACAACTTTAGGAGGGGGAATCCAAAAATCCTAAGAGTCCAGAGACACTCTCCAGGGACCATACAATTATTCTTGATGGGAATTTAGAAAATCGCAACAAAGTACTGGGTTATTAGTTCAAATGTGAACTTCTTCCTACTGTTTTGTAACTTCAGTCAGATCTTGATTGACTTCAAAATTTCTAAAGCAGCATCAAAATGTATTTTTAAAATGTCATAAGGAAACTCTATAGGCTCTACCTTTCAATATAGTTACCACACCCTGCCCACATAATCTTGGATAGGTGTTGGGAATGAGAAACAAAGGTTTTCAGGTTAGAGGATGTGGTTGCAACTCCCAAACAAATTCTATCATGAGAACCATACAGTGAAAAGCAACAGAGTAAGTAATGCTCTTGCAGTATGTCTGAGTAGGCAATTGCCCTGCCTCATTCATAGAATTTTGGGGGTGCTCCAGAAGTTATCTTCCATGGGTAACTCTCGTCTTTTCCTTCAATAAAAAAGATTTTTGCAAGAAAAGATTCAATGTCTAAACAATACTTTGAACTGGTGGTGCTAGGAGCTGCAGCCACCTTGATATGTGCTAATACTTGGAAACAAAGGGAGTATAACATGTAGTACAGAAAAAAATATGTTCTCAATAAATATCCTTGTTAAGTTGATATTTTAAGAAAGTATGTAACTGCTGATCATACAAAGGTATTATATTTTGCCTATTTTTCTTTTTAAAAACAGCAAAGCATTCATATTTAAATGAGAAATTTGATGCTGACCTGAAAAGTTAGGAATTTTGCATAGAAATACGTTGTTGCCTATGGGCTTTCATCCTCTGGATGTTTACAACTTCAGGGAAGTGCACTATAACCTCTACAGTGTATCATCTAGGGAATCAATAGCCAATGGAAGGTTCCACTCCCTGCTTCTATGGAAGAACTTCATGCCAAAGGGGGTGGGGAGCAATACTGAGTTATGTGTATAAATATTATTACAATCAATCATTTTCAAGCTGTTCTTAAAATCATACTAATAAATTATAGGATAGAATCTAAACAAGCGTCCTGTAGAGTTACCTTTGGAGGGGCTTCTTTACTTGCAAGTGGTTTAAATCTATCATTGATTCCAAAATACTGAGTCAACTCTTTCAATTGACTTTCCATCATGGATGGTTGGCTGCAATGAGAAACAACAAAAGAAAACAGTTGCATGGGATTCTTATTTTGAAAAAAGGGGCATTCCTTATCTAAATGTGCTTTAAACTATAATTTTAGTATTTTTAAACCTAGAAGAAACAACTATTTCTACACAGAGTGCTATTCTGTTTGTAAACGGTTACATGTTGTTAAATTGCAATGACCGTCAATATAGTTTTGACCATCAATATATACTTTATATATTTGCTATATAAATGCATAACCCTAAGATAGTCAAGCACCACATCTATATTTACTGGCAACAAGATTTATTCATTTTATTGTACAATTATATTTATTGCACAATGGGCCCAATATTGTAAAGAAATACTACTGGACTCTCAGAAGAATTTGACAGAGGAACTGAAAAGCCAATATACTTTAAAATGCAAGTATTTAATACCTTTCAGTTACTTGGACATTTTTCTTCAATTTAGCTGAAAAGAAAAAAACACACACAATAGTTTCAATTTAACATTTGCTAAATCAACACAAGATACTTAGAACCTAATACATTCCTTTACAGATGTATTATCCAGAATAAAAAGACCTGCAAAAGATACCTGTTTCCATTCTACCCATCTGTAGCAAAATACATACATGGTTATGCACATATCTGTCTTTAAAGGAAACTGAAAGCATCTACTTATCCCTATTACAGGTTGGCGCACTGAATAGCTGCATGGGTACCGTGGAGGTAGATGTGGAGAACAAGGTTGTGTTATGCTCAGTGAGAATCCCTCTGTACTGATTGTTGACTCTCCAGGGGAATGGATGGTGACTGCACTAGCCTAACAATATTTTAACACAATCCTAAGTGACTAGACACTGTGCAACTTCCTTCTCAATAAACACATATGAAAGTAAACTGCAAAAGTAACAGTTTGCTATTGACAGAATGCTACTCATCATACAACCCCTTTCTATCTGGGTCCAAATTATTTACTTAGAAGACAATTCCTTGGGCTTCAGTTAAACTTGCTCCAGTATAAAGGCCTCAATCCAAAGAATGCTTCATCATTAAGCAGAACAAGTAGTGTATAGTCTTTCTTCTTATTCCATAACAAGGGATCAGCACAGAGTTGACACCTCACATCATTGTCAGCACAGTATTACACAGTCCAATCCCAATTCCACTCTACCAACAGTATTCTTCTGTATAGCGGAGAGATCCCACAGTGGTGATCTATGTGCATCAATCCGCTTCTCCACACAGAATGCTTATGGTGCGGACAAGTGAGCTTAGAGAGACGGTTTCTGGCACAGAGCTTCAGAGAGCTGAATCACGTAAGAATTTACAATAATCTAAACCTTAGTTCAAATGTCACCCTGAAAAGTCATTAATTATTTAAATTTTTGAATTGCCTTACAATCAAAATAAACAGGAGGATCACTGAGGTTCAATTAGAGGTGTACAAGACAAAAACTTGAAATTAAATCCCAGCTCAGTCACTGACACTGAGAGCTCTTGGGCAAAACGCTAACTTTTACTTCAGTTCTCCTATAAAACTAGGATGACCTATGTAATACGGTCAGAGAAAGAGTAAATGACAAACACTGAAAAGTACATTGAATATTAAAAGCTCTACTTAAATGAGTCAACATTCAAAGAACTATTTCAGGCATGCCCAAAGGCCTTTCTTTGAAGCAGAGATCCTCCTAACTATAAACTACTTCTAAAATTCTGCTCCAATATAGTAATGATTTGTCACATAGCATGGCAGCTGCTGTTCCAGAAAAACGTCTGAACGCCTTTGGATGCCTGGAACCAATAATGCAGTTCTTTGGATAAAGACCATAGTTAAGAATGATACCTCTGTTTTATAGCTTTGGATCACAACCAAATCACAAAAAAATCCCACAATTCAATATAACACAAAGTATGTGCCTCACTGTTGCCACCCAGTCTTCTTACTAAACCATTTTAGAACCTGCTTACACACAAGAGTTCTCAAGCAAGCATTAACAGCATTTCCAGGAAACTGCATTAATTTAAAACAGAACACCTTTTCTGGAATGCTTTCTCTTTCGTTGTCTATCTTTCTGATTTTTAACTTGGATTTTCATTTCAATGTTTTTCTGTTGTAGACTCTGAAATTTCTGTTGAAAGAACAAAATACAAACTGAGAACATGAAGTAATTTGTTTATATGAAAGTCAAATGTACAAAATACTTCAGAAAACATAGTTATCTATTGCATAGCATGTTGTTATGACATTTATTCTATGATAAAACTGTAATAAAATACTGTATAATCTTAAGAGACACAGAATCAGAGCAAAGAAGGCAAGAACATTGTTTTGGGGAAGCTTGTTGGAACAAATGCATTTTCAGTAGACTTCCCCCCTGCCAACCCCAGAAGGGTGAGTGCCTCTCTGGTTGGTACTGGTAGGATGTTCCAGAGAGTGAGCACCATGATACCAAAGAATGCATTCCAGTCCTCCATGGACCAGACCTCTGATATCACAAGCACAACTGTAAGTGTATTTCTAATGAATGCTGCAACCAAGCAGGTAGATGGTTGGGCAATCTTTTAAAGTATCCTGGCCCTGAGAGCTGTATTTGTAGGTCCTAAACTACAAACATTAAAAACAAATACCTTGACTGAAAGCTCTGCAGACCTTTCAATGCACACTGCACAGAACTCCCTATAAGCAAGGGCTTCTCTATTCACTGGTAAGCTATTCCATGAGCAAGAGGGACATGTGTAAGATGCACATCATCCCTATGTGTGCTGCTCACAAATGCAAGAGGCTTGGCTTGGTCAACAGACCATCTCAATAATGGTAGCTTTACTTTCTGAATCATTAACTATTCAGGAATGATCTTCAGACATCAATTTCAATGTGATACATAAAGGCTAGAATACAGCGTTTTAGCACAGCTAAAGTTTTGGACAGAATGTTTTCTGCTTGCTTAATTTTTCTTTCTTTGTAATATGGCACCATCAGATGTTCTGCCAATCTTCCACTGAACATTATCTCAATATGAAAATGTTTGTTAGCATGGGTGTCTAATGTTTGAAAAACATAAATCTAAAGATCACTGAAACACGTAGAGCTACTTGAGCTGCTTTCTAGGCTCAGAAGAGGTATAAAATACTAAATAAATTGAGGAAGCATAGTATGAGTACTTATGGATGGGAAAGACTGACAGTTTACTTCAGATATGGCAAAAAAGAATACAGAGCAATTTTTGGAAACAATCCACTGGTTTTTTATTAAGGTCCACAGATCTAACTGGTCTGCTGATCCAAGCAAGCACTCTCAATTGTGCTTTCCCCTACATGAGGTCTCTAGATATGAAAGCCATTCTGAGAAACAAGAGAGCACTTATATATTGGCTGCAAAGTCATACAAGGTAATTCATTACATCTCCCTCTGGAAGCAACCTGTTCAACAATGCTATTGAGGCAAGGCACGGCAAGGCAAGGACGAACACAACCAGAAGTTTCTTCTCTAGAGCTAAGCAGCGTAAAATGGAAACCACGTTATATTACAAAAACAAACAAACAAATTAACATCTTGCTGCAATTTGCTATTTCTGGAATAATTACCTGCTTACATATTAGCAACAGATGCTACTACACTAAATTTAGTTTTAGTCATGTAATCAAACCTACATTCCACACTTCTAAAGAAACTCCAGAAGGACATGCTTGGGATTTCTGCACTTCATCTGCTGCAGAAACAGATTTGGTTTCAGTGACACTTTTGAGTCCCTGTATTTCTGAGTCAGAAGTCTGGGTGCCCTTAAAGTTCTTTTGTTTTCTTTCCTCCTTTAAGATTGATCCAGGACCATCCAATATTTCTTCATCATCAGAACTTGTATCAACATCACTTTCATTCACACCAGGGGGTAACAGACCACTCCACATCTCTAGGTATAAGAGATGAAATGCTCATTATCATTATTATAGAGAAAACTTTAACAACAACATTAAAATTATCTTCACTGATGATAAAACCAGGATAAGAATTTCTCATGCATCTTACTTCACTATTATTTATCATCAATGTCAAAGTGAATTTAGATTGTTTAAGATCCAAGAAAACTGAATGTGAAAACATCCTTTGAACATAGGAAGGAAATAAAAAATACAATATTACAAAAACAATCATTTTTATTTGATGCTTTAAGTGGCTTACACAAGCTTATTAGAATTAATGTGACTTTTATGAAAGAGGCAGTTTAGACAACTGTATTAAACAATGAAAATAGTAAAAGCATATATTTTTCTGGCAGAGTCCAAAAGACAGCAAGAGAATCATATTGTGCCAAAAGAAGAGATACTCATATAGAAGCTCTAAACAAGAGAACTATAACTCAAAAAAACATGTTGCAATGACCTCAATAAAATGCTACATTTTCCTAGCATTTTAAATATATGCAACGTTGTTCAACAGCATGTGATTTCACAAGCTCTTTGCTCAGTATGTACCTGAAGAATTATTTAGTTATTTCTGTTTTTAATGAAGAGGCATATGTAAAATAAACAAACACAATGAAAATACAACATAAAACCACTAATCAGGAAGAAGACAATAAAATAGCAGTTCAAGACATATTGGTAGAACTATCACTGAAAGGAGGAGATGATTACGAAGTCCTCAACATTTTTCAAAGGTCTACAGTGGAAGTGTAAAGACACAGAAATTAGTCTGGAAGACATCCATGGGAAAAACATCCCAATGTTTTACTACCGCCACTGAAAAGGCTTTGATTGGTTCACTCATCTAATCTCATTTAAAAAGAAGAACAGAACTCTTCCTTTTTCAACCATGCAGTGCAATCTTATACATGTTTACTCAGAAGTAAGTCCCAGTTGCATTCAGTAGAACTTACTTCCAGGTATAGGACTGTAGTCTGACATATGTATATTTGGAGAAAACAAATGACTGATGGATAAAAGCAAAGGTGTATCCAGTTTTCCTGTCTGACCAACCAGAAGTCTTTGGGAAGCCACAAGTAGGACATGAAGGCAATAGTCCTTCACACGAGTACCTAATGGCATACTGCTTCTGAACATGGAGTTCAATATAAGCATGATAGATAAGGCAATACCATAGATAGGTTTCTACTCAGCAACTTGTCTAGTCCACATTTTTCAAACCATCTAACTAGTGGCTAGCTTATCTAGTGTAATAAACTCTGTTAAGTAAATCATGCATTATGTGAAGAAATGTCTTCCTTTTGGCTGTTTCCCATTTAAGATCAATCAGTTTTACTGGTGGACCGTAGCTACTTTCTTCCCTTCATGAAAAAATGTATACACCTGATAGGATCCTCCACCTCTAACAGTCTTAATTTTTTAACATTAAAAACATTACCATTTATTTTGGTTGCCCTTTTCTGTGCCATTCCTGCTATATGAATATCTCTTTCATATAGGATGACCAGAACTCTGAATGTGGCTATAGCAAAGACTTGTATACTTAGCATGGTATGCCACCAACTCTGTCCCACTTTATCAAAAGACACTGGCCTTTGGCTGCTACTCAGTGGCTGGGTTCACATGCCACAACAAGCATGTGAATGGTTACCACATTTTGCAGTGTTTTACACTGATGTGCCTGACAAGTCATCAGGCTCACAGTGGTAACTTTGCTTCTTCCTGCCATGTCCTCTCCCTCAGTCCTCTAGGCAGTACTACAGGAGACACAATTAGAAGGAATGAGCTTCTTCTCTTTGACAGCTGTGATCATGAGCTGAGTTCAGCTCGCCACAGCTGTCAAGCAGTCTCTGTTACACAAAGAGGGTTCATGCCCTGAAGTGCAGTTGATCAGGCACCTTGCCTCCTATTCCACAGAGGACCACCGGAGGAGGAGGGTGGATACTTGATCCATGCTCAGGAAAAAGTGGATGGGGGAGGGAAATGATCTGGGCAGGGATGTGGAAAGTACAATTGGTCAGATTATTCTTTGTCTGCTCTCCAACATATGTGAAGTTGGAGGAGAATCAGCTGAGCATCAGTCCCCAGTTGGATGCAGCACTGTTCAGCTGATTCCCCCACTTATAATCCTTTCTCGCTCCCACTTGCAAGGGAAGTATCCTCAACCCAGCACCCACCCAAGTGCCTTCCTTGTAAGCAGGCAGTGATGTAGGACTTGCATGTATGGAGCTGCATGTATGGATGACAGGAAATGGGGGAGTCCACTGAGTGACACTCTTTCTTTCTGCAGTGCAATGCAGCTGATCACCTACTCTAGCACCAAAGACATCTTTAAGACAGGAGACAGTCAGAGCAGGGTCACCTTTGACAGCAGCACAAAACTGCAGCAGCTACTCGCAATCTCTGAATAGCTGCTTGGAAAGAATGGTGACAGACCATCCTTGCCAAGCAGTTCTCTGGTTCTGGTTTTGGTATCATACTGAGTTGTGTTTTTGAGGTTTGGACAATGTAACAAGTCACTGAGGTACCAAGATACCATGAAAAAGATGGTTGCTTCTGTTTGTGGTTTCTAAAAACAAATGCACAGGGTTTATATGACAAAATATCATGGTGAGATGGCAAAACCACTGTGGTTTGTCATGTCATAATCTCCCCATTGCTTTTTTCTCCAGATTTCAGGAGTAAGGAGGTGCTAAAGCCACCTCAATTTTCTTCTTCCTTATCTGTGGCTCCTTATCTTTGGAGAATGACCAGAGCTGTTTCTAATGTCCCAGTAAACGATCCCCACTAGCCTTCAGAAGCATCCGTAACACCTGTTGCTTCTTTCTACTCTGCCAAGATGCCCAGCTCAGCATCATTTGGTGGAGAAAAGTTGCAGGGCCAATTCCACATGGCATAAGACAAATAAGTTAGACAATAACAAGACATTATGATATTGGTCATTTTATATTCAATTATTTCCTCTCATTCTGCTAGAGGTCCTTAAAAATCCCTAAAGGTTATCAATTTTCAATACAATGATTGTGATGAATGATTATGCTAGATATGAACCTTCACAGTGCATATATTGTGTTTTGTTAGATCAGTTTTTAAGGCTGCAATGCACTTAGAAATGTCCCCATAAAGCCAATTATTTGTGGACAGAATACATCATCTCTGCTTGCTAGTCTGATTTTCTTACTGAAGTAGCAGTACCAAAAATTTACTGAATGGTAGCTGTTGTCCTTATAGCACTTACAGACCCAATCCACAGGAAGCCATCTATCATGGCAGAACCACAGTGCTGCCCAGCTCTAAAATGAAATTCTTTGTTTAAGAATGCTGAAACAACTTGTTGTTCTGTAGAAATTGCAAACAAGGAATGCATTTGAGCCATGGATTTAATGTCTGACTCTAGTCTAATCACAACTTACCACAATAGTGATAAAACATCTGGCCTCACACTGGAGCAATGTACCTGTCTGGAAGTTCTAAAAAATGTTTCATGCAAAATCTTTGGATGCAAGGTACTAAACAGTTACAAATCACAGAAGATAACAAAAACATATTATTTTATTACAGATTTTTTCTGTAGCAGATTATGCAAACAGCAGCAACTCTAGATGCTGAAATAGAAAGACAATTATGTTTATTTACGGAGGAACAAGTCAAACATCAATTTCTTTCCTGTCTAATGCCTCATAATAAAAAGTTAAACTAAATGTGATAAAGAAAAATCTATGTGATGTGATTAAACCATATCTGTCACACTGAGCTAGAGGCAGAAAGCAAGGAAGCACAGTCTTATGTACACAGAAGAATGGATACCCAGCTGGGAGAAAGGTTGCAACAGGAAGGAAAGCTAGAAACAGAAGTGTTCCATAAACTTTCATTTCCCTCTTATTCCCAAAACTGAATTCTGCCCTACCGTAAACGGCGATGCAACAGATCTTGGCTTAAATATGTGCTATCATCATGCCTAGCGTAAGAGTACACATGTTATTTGCAAGAACGTCTCTAAGTTCACAGGACTTACTCTAGGAAGTGTTCACTAACAAACCACAACGAACCAGAACAGATGAATGCCTGATCCGAACAGCTTTGCTCTCACTCCTCTTGTACTACAGCTGGATAGAAGTAAAATACAAACACCAGTACTAGCGAATACCGCTCTCAGATGTTGATTTTTCCAAGGAAGGGGTGTGGCAGGCTGAGCTTTGTATTCCGGCACAACTTCCTACTGATGGACACTGCCCTTTGCCAATAACCTGTAACTGAAAACGAGGTCTGAAAAGAAGGAAGATCCAATGCACCCGTTTCTCAGTGGAAAGGCATGCTCGAGACTGCAATGCTAAATCCCACTAATCAGGAAGAAAGTCCTGCAGAACTCTATATGGCTTACTTCAGAGAAAATCGGTACAGGATTCTTAGGCTTTAGTTCTATGCATACTTAAAAAGAAAAAAAAAAGCCCTATAACGCCCAGCATTCCCCAGCTGGGAGTTGTAAGACTTTCCCCCTTCCCTGCCTAAACATGCATAGGATCGCGCTCTTAGTCGCCTTCCTAAATGATAAGCCTGGGACTAGAGGGAGTATTTCATAGCGAAACTGCAAAGGCAGCTTACACACCGTTCCTAGATCACTCAGCCTTGTTCAGAGAGCTAGCATCAATAATTACACATCGAAAGAACCCCGGCCCCTTCGTCTCACTTACCGACCAGTGCTTGTTTACATGGCGGCCATCTTGAAGCTTCCCTCACAGCCCGTCCTCGCCGGCATTCGCTCCGCCCCGCAGCCAATCGGAGACGGCAAGCACAAGTTCTCGGTAGTCCCCATAGTAACCTGCCGCGGTTTGTTTTCGACTAAAGAGCTCCTATCGTAGCGGCTTTGAATCAACATTTCCGGCGCCCAATTGCAACAGGGTCCTTTGCGTGCGGGCAGGCAGCCCGGGCGGAGTCCGCTGGTATATAGAACTTAACTGAATACATCCATGAAAGCCGAAAGGGTTCAAAGGTGCCCTTCGGCGTAGTGCTTTAAAGCTATTGTGCACTTCATGATGGTTTCACTCCCGGAAAAAAGTTCCAAAAAGGGGAGAAAATATACTTTTGAAGGCAGAAATACTGTTTTTCACGAACTGCGACAGTGAGTTCCAACAGCTGAAATTTTACCTGTCTGCCAAGTTTTAAAGAGGTGTACTTTATATGTTCTGTTTCCCTGAAGTGACTTTTGAACGCTCCATTTCAACTACATGGAAAACAGCAAACTGAGAAATCTGCTATAGGTAGGGATAGATTCACTCCCTTTCGTAATTCTCGACCCCAGTGGGCTCACCTCATGAAGCTGCGTGGTGTGAGCTCCGGGGCAGCTTAAACGGAAGGGCTCCTTCGCTCAGCACTCGGTTCAGCCACGGAACCCACGGATACAAGAGGCGCTGGTGGCCACCAACTGGACAAATTCCTGGGGCAGAAGGTTATCTCTGGTGATCTGCTACCCATGGGATCGAGGCAGCATGCCCAGCCACAGGGGTGGGAGGGCGCTGGAGCATTCGTGGCCCGCTTGTGGCTTTCTCCAGGGCGGCTGGTTGGCCATTGTCTGAAGCGATGGCAGGGCTAGGTGGGCCCTTGGTCTGATCCCACATAATTCTTGTTTTCTTGCAGACAGTGGGAGGAAGGTGAATAAGTAGAAGCCCAGCCCAATGACAAACTATCAAGGAAAACGAGAGACATTAAATATCTGAGAGTGGAGATTTTACTGTAAACTGTCAGCTGAAACTAAAAGGCTAGCACAGAAGGAGCCAGGGGATGGGGATGGGTCCTGCAGCAGATGCCTAGAACTGATACTCCTGTAGCATTGAGTAGCGGCATTAAACTCAACCAGAAACATAGACTACAAAGGGTGCAACCCTCTCATAGATTTGTGATGAGGATGGTTGAGACAGTGGAGATGCCAAAAGCAATGCCACTAGGAGGCCTTCACCACTTTGGTCTCCTAGCAGGGTTACCCGAAGTGGAATAGTGAAAGCTGAGACACCAGCCAAAGATGCACATAACCTCTTCAGGAGTAACAATCATCTCTGCAGAAGAAAATGGATATCTCTAACTGTGATGGTGGTGAGAAACTTCTGAAATGCAGGTACTGGGCAGCAATGAGAACTCAAGGCAACACTGGTGGAGGATCTTTTACAGACAATTGCAATGACACTGAATAGCCCTGGCTTATAACACTCCAAGAACTCTGGTTATTACTGCTCAGAAAACAGCAATGGCAAACCACTTCTGAATCTTATTACCTGGAAAATCCTATGATGAAACAATCCAAGAGATAAGATGAGAAAATGAGACTCCCAGGTCAGAAGGCACCCAGACAGCTACTTAAGAATAGCAAAGGACATGTAAGAATAGTTTGGTCACTAATGAAACAACTAGATCAAAGCTAGTGGCTGACATATAAGAGGTAAACAGGTAAACTGCACAATATATATACTTGGAACATGGAATATGAGAAGTATGAATTGAGGCAAACTGAAAACTGTAAAGCAAGAAATGGAGCAATTAATCACAGGGATGTATGGGGAAGCCATCTGGGGGGGGGGGGGAGCCATCAGATTCCGTGAACTTGGCACCCAGGACTCTGGTCTGCTTTGCAGTGGGCTAGAGTCTAAGCTCCTGGCAGGCACACTCAGCATAGGAATCAAGCCTCATGCATTGCATGAACCACTCCCTCTCACATGCTAGGAGCAGCCACTGTCTAAGCAGCTGCAACTGATGCTGCTGAAGACGAATGCTTGGGTCGCCAGGAAAGCAGCCCTGTTTTCCTGGCAAGTCTCTAGTAATCACTGCACAAGCAGTGTTCATCTTCCACACCAGCTGCAGATGCCTTTCCTTGCCACAAACTTGGTGGCAAAAAGGTGGAAACCATGTGGCAAAGTGGGAATTGGGATTAGGTGTGCAAGCAAGCCACGGTGAAACAAATTCTTTCTCTGTAGTTACATGAAGACCATTCTTACCACACTTCTTGCCATTCAACAACAAGCCATGGTACAGTGGTTTTCACCATGGCTTGTTGTTACACATGAACATGCCCAAAGTGTTTTACTCAGAAGAAGCAGAATGGCTCTAATACTGAGGCCCAGGCAGTAAGGTACTATAATTCAATTGAATCATATCAACCAGAATTATGCAAACATCCAAGACAAAATTGATAACACACCAAAACAAGGCATGCTGATAATCATAGGTGACTGGAATGCAAAAGTAAGAAATAATTCAGAATTAAATGTAGGAGAATTTGGACTAGGGCTTGGAAATGAAGCAGGAAAATGACACATAGAATTCTGTGAAGCCAACCATCTGTTTATAGCAAATACATACTTCAAGCAACCAATCAGTTGACTGTACATACCGACATCTTCAGTTGGCCAATTTAGAATTTAAATAGACTTTGTAATTGGAAGCAGAAAATGGAGAAACTGTATTCTCAATGTCAAAACAAGGCTAGGAACAGATTGCAGTAGTGACCGTGAAGTCTTAATATCAAAAATCAAGAATAAAGCTGAAAAAAGATCACTAACAGAAATTCAGTGCCAAAATACTACTTTAATAACATTCCTGAGGAATTTAAAGTCTGCGTAAAGATCAGGTTTACATTATTGAACTCAGTTGACTGAACTAGAACTATGGACTGAAAATAGACACAGTTTAGGAAAGTGGGGGGGGGGGAAGTACTGTAGCAGAAACAAACAAGCAAACACAGAGCCTCAATGGATAACAAAAAAGATACTGAACAACAAATAAGCAAAAACAAAAAATGCCAGAAATATGCATAGCATCTTAAATGCAACTTTTCAGCAGCTGTCATATAGAGACAAAATGACTATTCCAATGGCCAGTGGAAAGAACTAGGAGAGTTCAACAAAAGAGGAAAAACAAGAGACCTCTTCTAGAAGATCAAAGAAGATTCAAAGCTAAACTAAGAAAGACCAATAGGGGAACATGCCATCCGACCAGGAAGAGTATGTGGAAAAAAGACGGTGGAAACAATATATAGAAGATCTATGCAGAAGAGATAAAAGTTGGCAGGCTGTTTTGAAGGAAAATCTTTTGAAGAGGAAGCTGTAATGCTATAAAGTGACACAAACACTGCTCTGAAAACACATGGAAGGATAAAGCACCTGGGGTAGATGGGGAACCAACAGAACTATCCAAGCTGTGGCTACTGAACCAGTTTAAATCCTAGCAAAAATATGGCAACAAGTATGAAAAACAAAACAATTGCCCACAGAAAGGTAATGTCTAATTTCACTAATCTTTCATGCAAGGAAGTGATGAGTTGCAACAAGGAATTTTATCTTGTATAGAGCAAGAAATGCCTGATGTTCAAGCTGAATTTTGAAAGGAAGAGATGCTTAAGATAATATTTTAAATATATATTGGCTACTGGAGCACACCAAAGAATTTTAGAAGAGTGGTCTGTGCTTTAATAGACCTTTAATATAACAAAGCATTTGACTGTGGATCATAAGAAGATTTGTTATGATCTTTTATATTGTTGTATTTATTGAATTTTGTTTGTAAGCCATCCAGAGACGCAGAGTGATTGGAGGGGTTAGAAATATCCCAAATAAATAAATAAATAAATATGTATGGTCCTGAAAAATATAGGTGCACCTCAGTATTTGATTGTCCTGATATGTAACCTGTATCTTGGACAAAAGCTGCTGTTGCTGTCTGTTAGGACACAATATGGAGTAAGAGAATGGCTTCCTATAGGCAAAGCCAACAGACAAAGGTGTATTTTATTTCTCTCTGTGTTCAAACTATATTCAGATATATCATAAGGAAAGCTGTTTTAGGATCAGAGGAAGAATAAGTAAAAAATGGTAGAAGGCACACCAGTTATTTAAGATATGCATATGATACCATATTACTGGCAGAAAACAGCAAGGAATTGAAATGACTCCTGTTTCAAATAAGAAAATAAAGTGCAAAATTAGGACTGCTGATGATCATTTAGAAAACAAAAATGTCTACATAAGAATTACATACATTTAGAGAATTTGTGTAAGAGTTTGCATATCTTGGTTCAATTATCAATTGAAAGAGAGATTGCAACCTGGTATAACTACTGGTTCTCGGGGAAGAAGCTCAAAACAGCTGATATGGAGAAGCTGAGAAGTAATGAAATTTATGAATAAGGTCTTTGAAGATGTAATTAAGGCATCCTATTTATTTATTTATTTATTTATTAAAACATTTTTATGCCGCCCCATTCGCCGAA